AATAGCTGGCTTAAATGGGGATGTGCAGCAAGCACTACCTTGCTTTCTGGAGCCAAGGGTCCCGACACAGTGTAAGGAGACCCAGAGCCAGGCTGAGCTGCTCTCAGTGCAGTGAAGATGCTTGCATGAACATCAGAGGGGCACCAGACCCAGTGTACACCCGACGCTTGTGCATGTGACCCTGGCCACTCAAAAAGGGAGAAATGGGCCTGTTTTGTGAGACACACAGCCCAGCTCTGGAATGCTGAAAGGCCTCTCCCAGAGTACAGCTCCTAGCTGGACCAGCTCAGAGGCCCACAGGCCTGGGCAGGCTTGAGGACAGGGGTGTAGCTGTCCTCCATTCCTGAGAGCACTGCCCTCATGGCCAGGCCTGCACAAGGGTCATGAAAGTGGCAGCCACACATGGTTCAGAAAAAATTGCGTAAGGTCGGGGATGTAGCTCAGTGGCACAATGCCTGCCTTCCAGGCGCAAGATCCGGAGTTCAATTTTCAGTACCAAAAACAAAACTTGTGTGAGTGTGCAAGCCCAGAGGATGAGACAAATGCACAAGAACCCACCACAGTGGGTCTGTGTCTCATTCACCAGACTTCTCCATGCACATCTGTGCTGCGTACTCTGCACGTGGGATGTTCCTGGCAGAAACCACACAAGCTGTGAGGAACAAGGGGTGCTTAGTGCAGCTCCCTTGGGGGAGCTGGGCTATCTTGGTGGTGTGGGTGCCTCTGCTTTGCTATGGAGACAGAGTAGCTAAGGACCTCAAGGGAAGTCTGGCAGGCATGGGCAAGGACAGTAGGGACAGTGTCAGGCTGCAGGGCCACCCTCACCCCCAGGCCTCCTTCCTGCCATCTCCATCCACTATGTCAGCACTGTGAGCTGGAGTGAAGGCCTGGATCCACCACTTAAGAATTTTAGGAATTTCCTCTTAGTCTGAAAAGAAAATTTGTTCAAAGCTTCTCTTCATATATACAATTGCTCAGGTTTGAAGGAATTTCTGTCCTGTCTGGAGTGGCCATGGTGCCACAGGGCTGTGCAGGCCCTTTGGAGAGGGCTCAGCCTTTTAGGAATCTAGGTCCAGGATACCAGGGTGCTCCTTGCAGGTGGCTGGCTCAGGGTACACTTGCTTGGAAGTCCTACAGGTGGCAAGTGGTTTCTGGACCTATCTCTCCACATCCTCTTGGGGTTCTGGGTTTTTCTGGAATGTTTCTCCACTAAGATGCACCACAGGGGCTGCAGTGGGCAGCTGTGAGGTCCACATGCCCTGCACCCCTCCACAAAGGCCTTCCTCATGCTTCTGGCCCTGATGCTAGGCCCAGGCAGGGTGGCCCTGCCAAGACCTGGGAATTTGGGGAGGTGGGGGAAGGAGTCAGGTCCTTGGTGCCAGCTGCATTAGCTTAATCACAATGCTGCCCCAGTGGCCGACCACTGTCAATGGTCCCCTCTGTGCTGGGGGAAACTGCGCGTAGCTGCCTGGGCTTTCACTTCTGAAAAGCACAGTTAGCAACTGTAAATTAATACCTTACTTTTATACTCTTCATGGAAAATTTAAAGCTGAAAATGAAATTTCTGCCAGATGGCAGGCAGTTTCCACTCAGAGAGCTGCAAGTCAAGACAGTGGTGGGGAGCATGCCTGGCGAGGACGGCCACTGGACAGGGCCATGTGAGGAAGGACTGGAACAGTACAGCCAATGTAGAGGCCCAGAGGCTCTATGAAGAGGGTTGGCATTCTTCCAGCAGGACCCAGACTCAGGACAATGACAAGGAGGTAAGAAAGGGCAGAGGAAGCGAGTGGGACTAACATCTGGACAGTCTTGAGGCCAGAAAAGCACTGGGAGGGGCTGTTGCCCTGGATACAAGGGTCTGTGCCACACACAAGTGGACTCAACTGTGGCTTGTGTGGTGGGGACCAGTCCTTTCAGGGTGCATGGCTTTATCCTGAGACAGGGCACACAAAGGGCAGCTGCTTGTGTTAATTATGGAAGAACTGGGTGTGGAGAACAATGCAGTTCCAGGTGCAGGAGGAGGACCAGGGTGCAGGCTGGAGCTCCTGAAGACTTCCTGGTGACAGACTTGACTAGAACACCTGCATGTGCCATGTAACTGTGAACAAAGTTAGACTAAAACCAGTTCCTAGAAGGAAGTGTAAAACCCCCTTGCTAGCAATGTGACTGGTGGCCCAGGCCCTGTGGGGCTCCTATGGGGAGAATGTCTGCGTGTCAGGAGCCAGGCGTGGCTGGGCACCTGCCCTGGGCCCACACATTGTGTACCCTTCTGTGCTGTATGAGGGTCTCTTCCTCTACCCTCCATGCCTGTACCCTATCTAGGCTAGTCTGCCCAGCAACCGTGACCCTCAGGCTCCATTGCGTTGGGGTCCCTGGTGGCATCCCTTAAAGCTAATTTTCCTGGGACAAGTCTTAACAGGGCTGCCTGCGGCTCAGCCCTCCCAAGACCTGAGGGGGCCTGGGGACACCTGCACCCTGCTCACCCTCCAGGTCTAGGCTGGGTACTGGAGGCCAGAGGAGTTGATTTCCTCCCTCAGCCTCAGGACTTGCACAGGTGAAATCTGCAACTGAAAATGAGATGTTAACAGGAACTAGCTGGTAGACAAGGAATCAGACATCCCCGACCCCTGGCTAGCTGCACTACACTTAATGGATGAGGGATGAGGTACAAACATCAGGGATGGGCCCACTGTGAAAAATCAGTATGGGAGACTGCCCTCTGGGAAGCCTGCAGGATCCCACTGCGAGTGCTCTTGGCACCCAGTCTGAGGACAGCTGAGACGTGTGGATTCCTGATGCTGTGTGTCCACTCCCCCCAGTGCTGGTGCCCTGCAGAGGGTGCTCTGCTGGAGACCTGCTCCCCCTGAAGTCGGACTGGCTAAACATCCCAGGAGCCCAAAGACTGACCTCACTTCCCAGCGTTGTAGCTCGCACAGAGCAGCAAAAGTTATAGTAAGAAATGTGTCAAAACCCTGCTTCCTGCTGGCAGCTGTGCTAGCTGTTGCAGTGGGGCTGCCTGTGCTGGCAGAGGTGAAGGATATCCAGGGGAGTGAGCCTGCTGCTGTCATGACCTATACTGCACAAGACTGCAAGAGATGAAAAGGCGCAGGCAGTGGGCACCAGTGGCCAGCGTATGGCCACATTGTATGATAGACTGGGGCACCACGGAAAAAGGTGTCATCTCTCCTGACCAGGATGGTCCCACACCTCTGGTAGCCAGCTGTTTGTATGCAGGCCATCTCTGAATGGCTCATGTTGTCCTGCATCCTGTTGATAGCCAGGGGCCTGGCCTTGCCTGTACTGTTGCCTCTGTGCTGGACAGGTTTTGAACACTGCCCACACGTTACACGAAGTTCTTCCTTTCTAGGCAAGCTACAAGAAGAGAAAGTGTGCTAATGTTCGTGATAAGCCACGAGTCTTCACCACCACAGAGAACAGCCCTACTTCTCCAGTGGTCTGTGGACCTGAGCGGTTGACTGCAACTTGATTGCAAAAACAAGAAACATAGTGTACAATAGGTGGAGAACACAGCACTGAGGTTTTGTCTAGAAAGCAATGAGAAGCAGTGGAGGAAACTGAGGTTATGAAGTCACAGATTAACAACCACCCACTTCCCCTCCAAGCAGGGGGAGAAAGAAGAGGAGGTGGCTGGCAGCCTGCACCCAGTGTGAAGGGCACCTCACAGGAGCCCCTGAGAAATGCCACAGGCACAAACCGGCCCTCAGCAAGTCCTCCTGTGCTCTGTGGGGGAGGGAGTCCCTGGACAAGCTGGGGGATCCAAGGTATTTGTACTGTGAGCCAAGGTATTTTTTACTGTTTATATCTCACACTTAGCTCATATGCTAGTGTTGAAATAATCATACATGCATTATATTCAGTACATAGGTAAAACATGTTAGAATTAAGAGATAACAGTTATGGTGGGGAAAAGGCCTAGCAGAACATGTATGTTATGGGATTTGTGAAGAGCTGCCTAGCACACAGTTCTGGAGGAGGTAAACTTAGGTGCCTTCCTGAAGGACAGCACACATTGGGCTCCCTCCTCCTGCAGCCCAGGCATGGAGTCTCATGGCCATGGGAGGTGCCCTGGAAGCCAGTGTGACCCAAGAGTGCTGGGCAGCCAGGTTACTTGATGATTGGTAGCAAATGAAGAATAAAGGTGCAGCGCTGGCCGCTACACGTCCTTCTCAGCCCTGACAGGGGTGCCCTGTGGCTGCCCCTGCAAGCACTCCTGCAGGGAGGCCCAGCCATGGCCTTACATCCCAGGCCAGCATGGTAGTGAGGGACCAGACACATGAGTGCCAACACTGTGCACAGGAGGCAACAGGGCCTTGTGGAACTGCAGCCTTCCTGGAGGCGGAAGGCTCACTCTGTGCACAGTGTTCATGGCCCAGGAGGATCTAAGTGTTGCAACACATCCCAGACAGGTGATTAGACAACCAGAGTACTTTATTCAGTTATACTGCTTAGCCATCTAGGCTGGGGCCCACAGCCACATTCCTCCCAGAGGAGCAGAGCCCCAGGCAAGGGGAGGTACAGCAGTGCAGGGACCACTCATCTTCCCTGCACTGGTGTCCAGAAGGGAGCAGGCCCTGCAGGAGAGATGGGGTCATGACAGAAAGATGTTAATCTCAGAAGGATGAAAAGGAGAATGCAAATATCATAGAAGAAATATATTGGGGTTCCTCCCTTTAAATATATGTTTTTAAAATTTCAGATGAGGTATGACCTTCCAGTATAGGACTGGTACATCTGGATCCTCATTTAAAAGTCCACAGCAAAGACAAGAATGAATTACTACTGTGCTTGAACTCAGGCCTAGCACTTGCCAGGGAAACACTTATTCTACTGAGCCATCTCCCTGGCCCCACTACTGTGCTTCTAAACCACTAATGACTTCTCTAGGACCTGCCAAGTCCTGGTCTCCCCACTCATGCCACCCATCTCCCCAGGGCTTCTTCACATCTACTCCTCCAAGCCTCCCTGCCACGGGTGGGCACCTGCCTGTGCTCTGCCTCTGCAGCAGCCCTGGGATGCTGATGGGTGGCCGGGGCTCATCCTGGGTGCTCCCAGGGCTGGGAGAGCCGCCTCTCCCTGCTCTGCCAGGTAGCTGGGACACTGGAGCTGGTGATGGAAGCTTGTAGTGGATCTGCAGTGGTGGGACCCTGGTGATGAATTCAACAGAGTCACAGATGCCACACACTTCTCTGTTGACAATCATCCAGGCAGAATCAAAAGAACATTTGAGCACACAACACCAGCACGGCCCATGCTGTGCCCAGGCTGATGGTCACAGCTGCATTAATTCCTGGAGTCAGCAGACAGCCTGCATTGGACAGGCCTTTCTCCAGTGAGTCCACAGCTCACAGCCCACATCCCACCCCTTCTTTTACTTGTCTTTTTGAGACAGGATCTCCCTATGCAGGTCAGGCAGCCTTAAGCTCACTGTGTAGCCCAGGATGGTCTTGAACTTGCAATGATCCTCCTGCCTCAGCCTCCCAAGTGCTGGGATTACAGGGGTGTACAATGACACTTGGCCCCCAGCCCACCTTTATGTAACTCACATACAACTGCTACCCCAGTCTGCCCAGAGCACACATGTAGGGTTATGCCCATGCCTCCTGCTCCTTCTGCCTCCTAAAGACCCTGTTCATGCCCTTCCTCTTGGGAATCTTGGGCAGCAACCTCCTCTCTCAAGGCAATGGCACTGCGTCATTCCCCACACTGGGTTCAGACACACCCGGTACTCATGTCCTGGGCCAGAGAACAGGAATGTGGAACACACCACCACAGTACTGGGCAGAGAAGCTGGGCACCATGGCCCACAACTGTAATTCCAGCCCTAAAATAGGCTGAGACAGGAGGATTGAGACTTTGGGTCTTGCTGGGTAGCTTAGCCAGACTCTATCTCAAAATTTAAAAATGAAAAAAAAGACAAGTGAATTCCACGTGAGTGATGATGCCAGCCAGCTGGCACTGAGAAAGGAGAGGCTGCATTTCTGGGGGTCAAAGGCATTTCATTACAAGTCTTCTAGGCAGATGGTGTGGACAGCCATGAGCTCTAGCAGTTGGGTGTGCAGAGGTGAGGCAGGATGAGCTGCAGGCCAGTGGGTAGAACTCAGAAACTGCCTGGCAGGGAAGGGGTTCAGCAGGGTCCACCCTCTGTAGAGGCCATGGCCTTCAATGCTCAGACCAAGTGTGGGTACCTGGCCACCCAAGAAGAAGGTACAGCCCTGTGAGTGAGCACTGGTCTCAGCAGGGCCTTATCTAGCTGGCCACTGTTTCCCTCTTTCTCCTTTTCTACAGTGTAGGGAAGATGTTAGAGATCTCGGGTGTGGTATGCATACACTACTCCTGAGCTCCCCTAAGTGGGACAGCCCAGCTTCTATACACCAAGATTTATGGGATGTATCTCCACACTGCCTGGAGGTGGAGAGAAGAGACTGTGACATCCAGAGCTTTGCAGGAAACAAGCCCAGTCTGTCCCCAAGAGGAAATCTCATGAAGTCATTACATGGTTCCTTGGGAGGTTTTAGGGAGAGGGCAAACACCTAAGGTAGATCCCAGCTTCAAAAATGGAGAACATCACGCTGCACAATACAGAGCCTGACTCAAAACTAGAGTGGAGCAGGCTTTGTAGCCCTGGCTCTCATGGCTAGGCCAGAAGAGTGTATTTGTTTGCCACCCACACATTAAGAAAATGCCCTCTGGAGGCATTACCTGAGAGCCTTCGACATGTTCATCTGGCTGGGCGTTGGGCTGGGTGTGAGGGCTGGATGCTGAGGGCCCCAGTAGGAAACACTGCCTGTGGAGGGAATGACAGTGTCATGTGAGGGTGTCACAGGCTTGAGGGAGAAGACAGACATGGCTGCTGCCCTACATCCTAAGGCTGACAACCCAATGAGCACTCAACTTCTGCTGACTGCAGCAGCAGGCCCAGGAAGGTAACATGTCTTCTGTTCTGATCTTTCTACCTCTTTGCACTTTATAACACAAAGACCATGTGAACCACTGAGACAAATCTGCAGTCTGGCAGGCGTGCTGGTACACATCAGTAATCCCAGTACTTTGGAGGCCTTCAACTATATGAAACCCTGTCGCAAAAACCAAAAGAAAACCCAGCAGCTTAGCATCAGGGAGATGGAATGCTGGGCTGCAGTACCTCCTTTGTGGCCCTCAGCTCAGCCAATGGGCCACACAGCATGTCCCACACACACAGACCACAGCAAGATAGAGAGCTGCAAAGGTCTGCACAGGTCTCACCAGCTGGGCAACATGGGAGGGCAATGTGATGACTGGCCCAGGGCCAACCTAGTGTGTGTGTGTGTGTGTCTGTGTCCTTAATCTGGTCCCCAGTGCCTAAGCACTACAGCTGGTCCATGCTCTGGGTGTCACAGGTAGCTATACCAGTTGGGCTCAGCTCTGCCTCCAGGACCAAGGAGGGGCACTACCCTCTGAAGGCCCTACCTTAGATGGCTAAGAACCCAGAGACCAAGCTGTCTGGCAGGGTGCATCCACCCTATCTTCATCCTGATTCCCCTGTGGTCAAACACTGGGACCTTGCTGGCTGCAAGCACGGCTCACCCCAGGAAACTATCGGGGACTTGGGTCCAGCTTGCCTGTGCGCTCTTCTGATGTAAGACCCAGCAGGCTGTGGTCCTGACCACCAGGAGCAGCCACACCCTGCAGCCTGCAAAGTAATCAAGCTGCCAGTGCCAGTGGCCACACAGCTCAGCCTCCTCGCCCGGACGTTCTAGGCAATCATAGGAAGGCTCTGCCCACCTCCTGACAGCCAGTTGTCCTGGTGTCTACTGTGGCACATGACCTCCTGCCCTGGGGTTGTAGAGAAACCTCTTGCTTCAAGGTGGCTTTTTTTTTTGTTTTGTTTTTTTTGTTTTGTTTTTTTTGAGACAGAGTCTCACCGTGCAGTTCAAGCTGGCTTTGAACTTACTTCATAGCCCAGGCTGGTCTCAAACTTACAACAATCCTACCTCAGCCTCCAGAGTGCTGAGACTACAGGCGTTTACCACCATGCCTGGCCAGCCTCACCATTTTGATTAAACAATTCTGGTGTGTTTTAATACACAGATCCAAGAGCAGTCATGATGGCAGGTGACCCTACTCAGAGTAAAATGCTCACTGTGGAGGCCATGGATGGCTCTTTACTTCACTCAGGGTGCCCTGTGGCAGGAGAACAGGTAGTGCTGGGAGCAAAGCATGGCCCGCAGGCTGCTGGGTCCCACAGCCAGTACCCCCAGGCCTTATGGCACTTGGAAAGACAGTGAGCAATGCAGGGCTGGGGCCCCAGGGGAGAGCAGGGTCTTCGGGATCAGTGGAATGGAGGCAGATCAGGATGATCCTCTGTCCAAGACACCTTCAGGAATGTGACATTACAAAAGGCTTTTCAGATTTTCTCTGCAGAGGCAGCAGAGGAGAAAAAGATGGAGGAATTCCTCACTTCAAATGAAATTAGGGAGATGTGTAAAACACGGGAAATAGTGCAAAATTTTGTAGAAAAGCACCACCTGATGAAGGCTGTGGCAGTGTAAGTGAAGAATCTTTAATGACAATACAGTGTCACATTTCCACAAAGTCCTCAAATGGAGGCAAAAGCAACTGTCATTGGATAGGTTCCCTGTCAAAGTAGCAGAAAAGAAACAAACTCCTTTGAGTCAACCCATAGCAGTAATTCCGTTAGTGATAGTGAAAGTTGTGCTACACAATAACCTTCCTCTGTCTTATCTCCCTCATACCAGCCATGAGGGTTCTCAAATATAAGTGCAGGTTAATTTATTTTTCTTTATATTTTGTATTTTAAAATTATTTTGTATATTATATTACAGTATTATACTCATTTTTATATGAATATTTTTGGGTTGTGGAATGAATCATCTGAGTTTCCATGACTTCTTACGTGGAAATTCACTGTGATATACAGGGGAGAGCATGGTCTTTGGCTTACAAGCATGCTTCTTGAATGAATTATGCTGGCAAAACAAGGTGTTACCATATTTTGACACACGTTTAACAAGTAAAAGACTTGCACACTGAAAACTACAAAAGATTCTTTAGAAAAACTAAAGATATAGTAAGTGGAGAGAAAGATTCAGCACATGTATGAAGGATTCTAAATTGTCAAGATGGTCATTCTTCCCAAACTGATGCACAAACTCAGAACCAAAGTCCGAGCAAGCTTTGTAGGATCTGACAAAAGGATTTTGAAAATTATAAGGGTTCTGCCACAGCAACAACTGAAGAACAGTAGCCATGGTCCTCCATTAGCCCATGGCCGTGGGCCTCAACAAGGGCCACAAGGTAACTAAGAATGTGGGCAAACCGAGGCACAGCTGCCATTGCAGATGCTTCACCAAACACCAAGTTCAAGTGGGACAAGATCCGGGAGGTATGTGGCTTCGCCCCCTGTGAGCAAGCGGTGCCCCATGGAACTGCTCAAGGTCTCTATGGACAAACACACCCTCAAGTTCATCAAGAACAGGGTGGGGACGCACATCCTCACCAAGAGGAAGCGTGAGGAGCTGAGCAACATGCTGGCCACCATGAGGAAGACAGATGCCAAGAAGGACTGAGCCCTTCTGGAATAAAGCTTTGCAGAAAGCTTAAAAAAATATGAAAGTGCATTATATGGAAAAATTATATGGATTTAACATAGCCAAATATTATAAAGAAGAAAGTTAACACAGTTTAGACAATCTGATTTCACAACATAATGTAAAACAAAAAAATTATGATAGTACAGTATCTGAAAAAACAGGAAAACTTGCAGTTATGATTAACTAATTCCAATGGCAGACTGTTAAAATACAGAAATGAAACTAAGTTCTGTATACTGTTCTTGGAGCCTTGCTGCCTTGTTAGCTGTGGTATTCATGTAGATTTCTTCATGATAGCCTACATATATCACATCATCACCAATAAAGATAGTGCATTTTTCAACCTATATGCCTTCCTTCTCCCTTTTTTGTTTTGTTTGTGAGACTTAGTTTCATTGGATAGCTTGAACTTGTAAACCCCTGCCTTAGTCTCCTGAGGAGCTGCGATCATGGGTCTGTGCTATCACACTCAGCTTTTATGCCTTCAATTTCTTTTCCTTGCTTTACTGCACCAGCTAGAACCTTAGTATAATTCATACAAATGTGATGGAAGTTGACATCTGTCTTTTGTTCCTGACTTCAGAGGAAAAAATATCCCATCTTTGAACACTGTTGGATGTATTGGGGTACACCTTTAATCCTAGCTACTCCAGAGGCTGAGGCAGGAGGACTCCAAGTTCAAGGCCAGCCTGGGCAACTTAGATTTTTTAAAAAATAAAATTTAAAAAGTGGTGGGATGTAGCTCTGTGGTGCGCCACTTGTCTAGCATACATAAGGCCATGGTTCAATTTTCAGTAGGGCCAAAACAAAAACTTCCAACATTTATTATGATATTGGCCTATAGGTTTTTGATGATAAAAAGGCTTGTTCTTTACCAAGTTGAGGAAATTCTCATTTACTTCATTTTTTTGAGACTTTCCACCATAAACAACTGTAGAATTTGGCGATTCTTTTGTTTTTTGGTAGTACCAGGGATTGAACTCAGGACCTTGCAGTGGCCAGGCAAGTGCTTATGCTGCTGAGCTATGGCCCTGGTGGCAATTCTTTTCTTAAAAGTTAGGTATTTTCTTTTTAAAAATTATTTATTTTTAAATACACATTTCTACATCATTTATTTATTTGGTACAGAGTTTCACTATGTGGCTCAGACTCAGTGATCCTCCAGTCTCAGCCTCCCCAGTGCTGGGATTACAGGTGTGCACCACCACGCCCGATTTTGGTGGTTAGCAGGGTGGCATGGCACGTGGTGCCTGGGTCCTTGGGCTTTCCAGGGAGGCATTTAGACTGCTATCTCCCCAGCCTGGCAATTGTTTTCTTATTGAAAATATTTCTTGGGGCCGGGGAGATAGCTCAGTAGAATAACAAGCACTTGCCTGGCAAGCACAAGGTCCTGAGTTCAATCCCCGGTATCAATATATATATATAATTTTTAAAAGATTTTTGTTGTTGTTTTCCTTAAATATTTGAAAGAACTGACCCATGAAACCACTGGGAAATTGACTTCCTTTTACCTGAAAAATAACCAATGTTACTTCACTTGATAGGCATTTATCTAGATTTACTATTTCTTGAGTTGATTTTGATAATTTCATCAAAGAATCAACTTTAGGTTCCATTAATCATCTTTATTGGTTCTATTTGCATAGTAGCTTAAGCTTCTAGAGTTCAGACTATCCTATTTTTTTTTTTACCTTACTCTATTTAAAAAAATTTTAATAGTACATCTGCATTACATGCTGAACACACTCCTCATACGGGTTGGTACACATACATAGCACATCTTAATTCTCTCTATGGCCTTTCTCTCCCCTCCCTCCATTTCTCGATCCCTTTACCATTTTCTTTTTCCTGTTTTTCCCCCTTACCATATTCAAGAGCACTTAATACTTAAACATGACTTTGCTTTCAACACATAAACCTGGTGTGTACTTTCATTCAGTTCAATATATTTTAAGTGTCTTGATTGCTTTTAAGTCATGGATTAGTTTGTACTGTGCTATTTGTTTTATTCTCTGATTTTTTTTGTTGTTGTTCATTTCCAATTTAATCTCACTGAGGTCAGGGAATATTCATTTTAGGATCCCAGTCCTTTATAATTTGCTGGGAGTCTTTCAGGTCCTGATAGCAAGTCTGTTGTAAAAAATGTCTCATTTGGACCCCAAGAGAATGTTCTTCTGCTTGTACTGGGCAGTGTTTCTATTTCTCATATAAGTCAATGTGGTCAAGTCTCCTATGTTCATGATTGTGGAATTATTTCTTTTTAATTTCATCAGTTTTGTTGCATGTATTGTGGGGCTCTCTTTTTTGTTGTATCTATACTAATAATTTATGTGTCCCTAATATACTGAGCCTTTTGCTATCATGAATTGTCCTTGTCCCTAGCAATCATTTTTGTCTTGAAACCTGTTGAACCTGATATGAATGACAACCACTCCAGTACTCTTGGTGCCATTGGCTTGATGCATCTGTCCTACAACTTTCTTCAACCTTTGGTGCCTCAGGTATTATTTCCTGTAGATAGCAATCCTGCTGGATCTTTCTTTTACACCAGTTTGATAATCTCTGCTTGTTTACTATAGCCTTTAATTTATCCTATTGAGTGGAATTATTGATACAGCCAGACTTGTGTCTGCCATTTTGTTTTATGTATGTCTTATATACTTTTTACAAATTTTTTTTGCTAGCTGTTCTATTAATCTCTTTTTAAAAGAGCATGGAAATCTTAAAACAAAATTGTCTTTTTCCTTCTACTCTGTATGTTTTCTGCTTTGTGTTTCTGAGGCCCTGGTAAGGATGCAGAGTTCCAGGAGCCACTCAAGGTTGGGAGAATGCAAGATGGCACAGCACTATGTCAGATAGCGTGGCAGTTTCTTCCCAAACCAAACCCACAGTGTCCAGTAGTGCTCCTTGACATTTACCCACAAGACTTGAAGGGTGGAGGCCACACACCATCTGCAATGGATATCTACAGTAGTGTTTTTTTCTTCATAACTGCTAAACCTTGGAAGCAATCTAGAGGCCCTTAAGCAGTGAATGGATGCAGTATGGTGCATCAAGATGATAAAATATTAGGGTCTAACACTAAAGAGAAATGAGCTAAAGGCCATGAAAATCATGGAGAAACTATAAGTGTGCACTGCTATGAGGAAGAATCTACTGCAGAGGCTCACGCATGAATGCATACAGTGGGATGACCTTCTGGAAAAGGCAACTCTGGAGACAGTGGAAAGGCCAGTGCTTCTGGAGGAGGAGGAGGGAGGAGGGGTGGAACACAGGGGACTCTTGGGGCAGTGAGCATCCTCCATGCTGTTGCTGCAGTGGCTCACAACATGCACAGCATTAGCAGGTGCAGACCTACATAGCAGACTTGGGAATAATGTGGTATGGACCTAGCTTCATTTGCGGCAGCACGGGGCCAGGGAAATAGCTCAGTGGCATAAAGTGCCTGCTTGGCATGCACAAGGTCCTGAGTTTGATTCCTGGTACAAAAAAAAAAAAAAAAATGTTTGCTGCAACAAAGCTCCACCCTGTGAGAGTTGCTGGTGATGGGAGGCCACGAACACAGAAAGGCAGGAACTATGTGGGAAATCTCTGTATTTTCATCTCAGTTATTTGTGTAAATGCAATAGTGATATAAAAAATAAAGTCTATAAAACCAACTGGGGGAGATGATTTAGTTATGTCAAAAAACCTAACTAAGCATAAAAACTCATGAAATAAAATGAATGGTAACAATAGGTTTGAGTAGACAAAATATTAAGTTTCTTTTGTGTGTGGGGGGAGAAGGGGAGAGACAGGACCTGGGGTTGACAGGGCCTTTGCACTAAGCTATATCCCCAGCTCTTTTATTTTTTATCTTAGAGACAGACTCATGCTAAATTAATCAGTTGTCCAGACTGGGCTCAAGTTTATGATCCTTCTGCTTCAGCCTCCCACAGTAGGATTCCAGGCACATGCCATTACATCTAACTAAGAATACTAAATTTCTATTTCAGCCTTTTGTTTTAGTTTTTGATCCAGTGTCTTGCTATGTAGTTCAGGCTGGTCCTGAACTCACTACATAGCTCAGGCTGGCCTTGAACTTTAGCAATCCTCCTTGTTCGGCTTTTTGAATAGAGAGATTACAGGAATGTGCCATCACACCTGGCTAAAATGCTAAATTTCTTAAAGTCAAATACAGAATAACAAGAATAAAAGGTCAGTATCTTTCACATTAAGGATGTCATATACACAAAGGACAAAAACAGGTTACGTTAGAGAAAGAACAAGAGATGAATAGGACACACTCAGGATCATTAGCAGTCATAGGAATGAAAAACAAAATGTTTTCCTTCCAAACTTACAAACTCAATGACACAGTGGACACTGAGGCTGTTCAAGCCAGGCTGCTGCACAGCTTCCCATCACACACTGAGCCTCCAGGAAGCAAGTGCTCTTTGGGAACTGGTTGAGTGGGGACAGTGGGGCAGGGACAGCATCTGTGGATACCTCCAGGAGGGTGACCTGGGCATGGCTAGTCCTTGGGAACCTGGGGAGTACCAGAGAGTATAGCTATGGGAAATGGTCTCACAGGAACCTGGTGTAGGGGAGGAAACCTATGCAGACTACCGGTTATACAGGGTGGGCAGAGGACACAGCTCTGCCTCTTCCAAAGCTCTGTGAGATAAGGCCACAGGCCCTGGAGTTGGGCTACCTGTTATAATGGTTCCTATTCCAGAGTAAGGGGAACAGGAGGCCTGAGGAGGACAGGTACAGTGGGGAGTTCATGGAAAGGAAACAGGTCTGGGGGCTTGAGGACAGGGACACTGGTAAGCCCAAGGGGAGGGACCACCAAGTCTGGGCCTGCGGGAAAGGTGCTACTGACCCAAGTGGTATATCAGCAGGCAAACCCAGCCACACTTTTGATGAAAACTACAGAAAGAGCTTCTGTCTCCTGTGAGCTCTGCCCTCCATAACCTGGTGCTGGGTGAGTTCTGACAGTTCTGAACACCTGAGCTTTCAGGGACCACATGCACACCCCTCCGGGAACCTGAGTGAAGTTATAGGAACACTACTTACCCATCCGTCCATCCTGAGGTGGACTAATCACAGAGATTCTCACAGGGCCCACAGTGACCTCAGGCTAAACACATAAGAGAAAATAGCCAGTAAAATTTCCACTCTGTCCCTATTGGGTAAGTATCTCCTGCTCACCAAGAAACCATTCTGTGAGCTCCTCTTCCTTAGGGCTCTTCACTCCGACAGCCTCTTGTCTGACCTGGCTCCAAGTGGACACCAGTCCTACTGCCCCACATGGGGTGGGATTTCCAACTCCTCCCATTACACCAGGTCCTGAGACAAAGAATGGATGTAGGGACCACCAAATGCTTTAAGGGATTCTGAAGAGGGAGGCAGGCAACAATCACTGCAAGGGACTCCTCCTGGTAGAACAGCCTGTGCTGGGTTTCCCACACCCTCTTCCCCACCCCACTGAGGCAAGGCTGTCACTATTCCTGTAGGACTGATTCAGCTGTGAGCCCCCTGCCCCATATGAGCTGTGGTGTCTGGCAGCCAGTCTCCGCTGGTCACTCCTCAGTCCCTGCCCACAGCTGGACTCCTGGTCTGGCCTCCCACCTCCCCATGAGCCTTAGACTCTGCCATCACATGTTGTCAAGTCCATAGTGCTATCTTCCCTAGCCATGCCTCTTACCCAGACTCTGAACCTGCAGGTACTTCTATCCTGGGGCATCCATGTCCTTGCAGGCTCCACTATGACCCCAGATGCTGCCTTGCTGGCCCTGCATCTTTACTGTAAAGTGACTAGACTACATCAGAGCCACAGCCCAGGCAACTGATACAGATGTAGCTGGGGACGGGGGTACTTCCTGTATCACAGCCTCTGTAGCACTTGAGGACACAAAGGAGGCCCCTGCTTGGGCAGGTCTGGGAGATCCTTTCACTTGTCAGAAGAGGGTGTATTCCAGGGACTCTGGCTCTCCCTGGTCTGTCGTGCCTTTAACACAGCTCTCAACAAGAAACCCACCAACTTCTCTGCTTGGAGCTGACCTCTCTGCAGTCCCCATCTGGGGCTCCCCATCAAGCCCAATGGCCTGGAGTCTGAGTCTGCAGTATGTCCTGGCATCTCCAAAAGGTCTGAAACTGGATGGTGACCCATGGGAAGTCCACAGCTCACTCCCCTTCAGTCCCTTTAGCCATTCCATAGCCAAGACATGTGTGTATAGTCCCTGTGAAAATCAACCCTCCAGCAGATTATGGAAATTCACAGGAAGAACAGGGACTGGGGTGAGGTAAGTGCCTCTTCTTGAGCTCAGAAAGACTCACGTTTGAGGTTCGACACTCGAGCCCCATCTGGGGGAGAATCTGTTAATAGCTGCATGTATTTGGAGAGGCTGACAGGCCATACACAGAGGTAATATGATGGGGCCCATGGGGCTCACTGTTGCAGATAACAAGACAGGTACCTAGGGAGGGGCTGTTCACTTCTGGTCTCCTGGAATCTGATGCTCTACTCCTGGGCTGATATGGGAGCTGCCAACTCAGTCTGGGACACTGGCAGCTGCATTAGGCTGTGCTTAGGCTTTCGTGGTCACTCAGTTCTGTTGATCATGCAGGGGCCACAGTGGCAGAGGCCCAGGTGGGACCTGGGGGGCAAGAAGGCTCTCAGGGAAAGCTGGTATCCCTAGGAAGCACAGTGCCACTCTACCCTTTGATGGTGCTGACCTCCAGGAGGCACAACAGCTTCTCCAAACCCTCTCTTCTCACAGGTGCCTTCCATGTCTCCACAACAAAGGGGAGCCAGCACACAGCCTTGTACACCCTGGAGGTGCACTTTACCCTGACATCTGCTGGGTTGGAGCCAGGACAGCAAGTGAGGTGGCTCAGCTCATGAGACACAGTAAGACCACACTCTCTTCTTCCCTCTAGCAATGGCTTACTCATTGGAGTTTTCCTGCCAAGAACACATCTTTGGGGAAGGCCTAGGGTGTTTTGCTGTCAGGAGCAAGGCAGCATGGAAGCCCTATGGGTCTGAGCTGTCCTGCAGTGGGACCATGGGGACACTCCTGGCTCCCTGACCGGGGCCTGTGGGTGCACTGACCCCTCCACCAGTGCTTATGGGTACTGGTTCTTCTTCCTGTGACTAAAGCTTTTTTCATGTCTGAGTCATGGCTTCACCTTGCACAAAATACTGTCAGCTCTGGTCACCTGCACAGTGGGAGTCCTATGTGTATTATAGTCACAGCCTCCATGAAGTCACCTGTTGGCAGCCCCTGGAAGCACAGGATGTCCATGTGCAGATAGCAGGTGTGCACACTGCTCTCTGTGGCCAGTTGGCAGGACTCCATCTCTGGGTGGGCACCCCAAGGGTCTCCCTGCATCTCTCTCAGGCTGGGCTCTGTGCATTATGGGGGGGCACACCCAGCAGCATAGGTGTTACATAGCACTTAGAACAGCGCTTACCAACTGTAGCACCAGGAAGGCTCTTGAAGAAATAGACTGGGTAATGACTGTACCATCAGAGTGCCCACCCTGCCCAAGCACCTCACACTGCCATCTCCACCCCATCTCTGAACTGCCTGGTGTCTGTCCTGCCCAGATGCACACAGGAAACCCAGCTCTACCTGGACTGGGCAGGTGATCAGGCCACCTGGAGCTTCCTGGATTTTGGCCTTGGGTACTCTCAGATCTACAGCTGTGTCCTCCTTTTCAGTCCTCACATGTTTAATCCACTTCTTTCCCTGGGCTGACAGGATTTTAGTTTTCCTTTGGCTCCAGTTCCTGTAGCATGGGAACTGGACACCCTTGCCGTGGCCATGGGCCTGGGTGTTGAGGCCGAACACAGTGTTCTTGAGGGTCTTCTGGGGCTGAGTTTAGAACCTACATGTGCACAGAGGCACTGCTAGAGGTCAGTCTGCTGTTAAGACATCAGGTCAGTTTACGAGCACCGAGGACAGCTAAGGACTTGACATGCAACACAGGGGCACAGCAATGGTGGCAGCACAGAGGTACTTACTTTCCTTACTGGGGAAGGACTAAGGTCAATCTCCATCAACTCCACCCTGCGAAACAGTGAAATAGGTTAATTAAGTCTATGACTTAGCTATAATTAAAACATCAGTTCAGCACACTGCACTTAGCAAGACCATGTATGAGTGTCTGAAGTCTTCTTCCACAAGGCTGTCAGAATGTGGTTGCTGCACCAGTCACTTCCTCTGAACTACTGGTGCCTACTGTCTGCACAATCAAGTCACCTTGCACAGCACAGCACCTGCAGCACCCTGTTCCTGCCTGCTCTGTGCCATCCTAGCTGATCTACCTCCCTCCCAGACCTACAGCACTAAACCCCTGCTGTGGAACATCACTTGCTTTTGTTAACATGGACTGTCCAACCCCATGTCATGTTGCTAGTTCTGGGCATGTGTTGGTCCTTTGTTTGCTCAAAGGTGGACAAGGTAACGTGTGGACTTGTCTTCTCCCAGACTTTCTCAGCCCAGAGGTAACCTCAGAGCAGAGATCCCTCTCTTTCAACAGCTTCAGCAGTGTCCCAGGAATGGCTTTGACAACCTAGCCCATGTGTTGTGAACTCTCTGCTTATATGGATGCCCATCTATGTGGAATAAGCCAGACTGTACCCTGGCAGTGTTCAGCTCTACCTCCCTAAATTCTTAGCATGCTGATCCAGACCTCTGCCCTATAATCTCCTCCTGCAGGACAGACAGACACAGCTTACCTGATGGCCCCACTGACCCACAGCCCACATGGTCTGTACAGCCATGACAGTGACCTTCCTTTGGTCATGCCATGACCCCAGGGAACTGGTGCCTGCTGGCTCTAATCCACCAGTGAGAATTCCATTGGGAATATCTAGGTGGGTAGCACCTTGGACCCAGGAAAGGCACTGGCCTTTGGGTGCCATCCTTTGTCTACCTTTGAGCTCAGTGGAGGGCTGCTCTCCTGACTGAGATCTGGGAGCTTCTATGAGTTGGTCCCTTAGTGTCATAGCACCATGGCCTTGCTCCCTGCTCTGAACGTTTTGCCCCAGGACACAGGGAGACAAGGTCAGTTCACCTGGGCATCTGCTGGTTTAAATGAGGTTTCTACTCCAGGGACTGTGGGTCACAGATTCAATAGCTAGCCATGGGGCTATATGTGACAGGCACCCCTGGGTTCCATGATCAGCCCCTTTGTATCCAAGTGGGGTAGGGCTGTCAGCCATTTTGGCTCTATCATCCCAGTGAAGCTGGGACTGTCAGAACAGCAGATCATGTAATTAATCCCACAGCAGCTACAGTGGCTACAGGGGCAGTGCCCTGGCCACCCAGGGTCACAATGTGTGTCTAGGGACCTGGGCCTCACATAGCAGTAAGAAGAGCATCAAAGGGAGCCAGATGTCTAGCAAACTGTCCAGGCTCTGGATCAGTGGAATATGAAGGGGCAGCAAATTGGAAAGGAAAACGTGGGAGTGTCCAGAGTACTTGTGGACCCACAACTTTCCCAAAGTCTCACACCATCCCAGCAGTCCACATACCTGTCAGGAGCTGATACATTGCGTGGCAGCCACACATGTCCATCTGGCTTTGCTGAAGGAGTGAGGATAAAACATCTTCACGTTAGTGCACAGGTAGTGTGACTGGGCAGCATGTACCTTTGCATTCTTTCCTCTCCAGCTTTATTTTACTCACTTCCAACTGAATTCTTCATGGTACTGAAAGCTGTTCGTTGTGATGATTTCATACTAAATAGAGGAATAAAAACAATGAATTAAATGACAAAAATTCACCTTACTCAAAAATCTCATCCCAACAGGAAGTAGAAGAGGGAACAGCCAACTGTTTTCAGTGGATACACAGACAGCCTGCTCCATAGGGGTCTAAAGGGTGCCAAATTCACTGGTCCCACTGCCCACAACCCAAGAGTAGGGAGAAGTCAAGGTTTTCTGCCTGCACAAACTCTCTCCTTATTTTTCTTTTAGCAATCCTTTTTACTGGAGGTGTCAAGCAACCAAAAGAGCCCTTTCCTGTGCTCCTTAGGTTACAACCAAGGGTCTGAACAGGAGGGCCAGCCAGAGACCTTACCTCTGCAGCCGTTCCAGCTGCAGCATTGATTTCCTGAGTGACTCTTCCAGCTGTGAGATCTAAACACACAAACAACTTGTTACCAGATGCACTATGCTAAGTTACAGCTCCTCCTTCCTGGGGGCCATTTGTGCAGAGCTGAGTTGGGTCCTAGGGACACAGCCTAGACCACCTGTCCAGCTCAGCCCAGTATGGAGCTCTCGTGTGTGTGTGTGTGTGTGTGTGTGTGTGTGTGTGTGTGGTGGCGGCAGTAGGGGAAGCCAAGTGCTCAGCCCTGCCAGGTGCTACTCAGGGATGCTGGCCTTGAACCAGAGAGCTGACTGAATACAATGTCCTCTTAGCACAGCCTGTGACACAGTGGAGCCTGGACCTACAAGTCTTTGAGTCTGTGACTTACTCTCTATCCTACGGTGGCATCTGTCAGGTGGAATCAGCACTGCTTGTCCTCTAGGTTTGCTGGGGGCCGAAGACATTAATAAAACAGAGGGCTTAGCCAAAGCCAAGGTACAAGGCAAGCATCCTCTGGTCCAGTTCTGAGACATTGCTGGGGTATGGTATGGAGTTCTGCTCAAGGTTAGAGGGTCTGTGCACAGAACCAGAGCACCCCAATCCTTCTCCAGCCATGCACAGGGAAGCAGCAGCAGGCTGGGTGGTAGCTTCTGGACTTGAGGAAGGGGTTTCAGAGCTCCATGACTTTATTTTTTTTAAATGCATCAGGGGAGAATTCAGTTAGTAGGGCTATTTCTGCTTCATCCAATTTTAAGTATTTTATTTTTTTAAATGTTTCCTTTATTTTCTTTTTTTTTAACGGTCAGCTCAGCCCAACCTGGGGGTGGGGCTGGCATGGCATGTGGTGCTGGGGATCCAACCGAGGTCCCTGCATGCTTGCCTAAGCAGGCGCTTTAGACCACTGAGCTATCTCGCCAGCCCCATGACTTTATTTTTTGGTACTGGGAATCAAACTCAGGATCTTGCACTTGCCAGGCAGGCACTGTGAGATTGAGCTATTATCTCCAGCTAGAACTCCATGACTTTAAAGCCAGGGACCTTACTTCATTTACTCCAGAGACATCAGTTTTAAAACTAGGACTTTCATTTTAAAACTCCAAGATATTCAGGCACAGTGGCACATGCTTGTTGTCCTAGATACTTGGGATGCTGAGGCAGGAGGATTCAGAATTTAAAGTCCGCCTCAGTGAGACTATGTCTCTAAGTAAAATTTCAAAAAAGGGCTGGAGAGTTGCTTGGCAGTACACTTGACAAGCACCCACAGGTCTCTGGGTGGTTCCATGCCCAATGCCCTAAACAAAAACAAAAACCCTAGATGGCTGAACAGAGGAGCCTCTGTGCTGTGCCTATGAAGTAGCCCAGGAGGCTCTGCAAGACTGTGACAGGTATCAAGCAAAGGGGAGACAATGACAACACTGCACACTGGAAAGCAGTGCCAAGAAAAGCAGTCTCACACCAGGGCCCATTAAAAAGCATGGTATTAAACAACAGTCTGACCTTTAGGTCAGAGGTCAAATGGCGCAGGAGGCAGATCATTCTGCTTACCTTTTCTTGATAGAAGGCAAGCAGCCTCCTTCTGTGCTTGTCTTGGAACTCTGAAACCTGAGAGGGTGACACATCAGCAGAGGGCCAAGGGGCTGGAAGGTGGAAGTGGGCAGCTGCCCACAGTCTCCTTGCACAGAGACATCTGAGTGCTCCTGGGTAAGGGCTGCTGGACCAGGGCTGCCCAGTATGAGGTTCCTGAGGTTCTTGGAGCAGCGAATGTGTGTCCAACTGGAAGCCAATGAGCCTGGTCACTATGAAGCCCTCCCCGTACCATGGCTGTTTGGTACCCCACAGCCTTTCCTGTCAAAGTGCCTCAGTGGCACATGACACATAGCCCCACTAGGACAATGTGCTATCCTCTGATGAAAGTAACTGGCCTGAGGTAGTCTCCTGATCAACCAGCACTAAGTACAGAAACATGGCCTGGGCCAGTGGAGAAGAGCTGAAGCACAAGAAGGTCTAGCCAGACGGCCCGTGGCCTATCTTTACTTCCAGAGCTGCTATCCTGAAACCTGTACCATCCCTGCCTTCTTCACAGAAGCCCAGATTGCATGTCGCTGCACTCAAAGCTGGATGTGGGCTCCTCATAGCTGAGGGAAGTGGGAGAACAGTGGTCTTAACTCAGAGAAAGCAGCTGTTTCTGGTGAGTGAAGGCTCAGATGATGGCACACATCTACTTCAAATACCAGACTGTCCCAAGTCACCTATCTCTGCTACCACTCAGGCATGGCCCATAGACAAAGGGCCAACTGTGGATAAAGTATATTTATAGCCATTTCCTCCTATTAGCTGGCAGTCTGGTCAAACCACAGACAGAAGAAAAAAGTGTGCAGCCTGGTACAGGAGATAATCAAGCTGTGGATGGGGACATAGGTACAGACTGGGTCTGTAGTCCTATTCTCTCCATGGAGACACTACTTCTGGGTGACATCTTCCTCAGAGTGTCTGAGTCTCAGGCTCAGGAGAGCCATTAGCTCTCAGATAAGGTGGGCACAGCACAGGTGCTATTCACATAGACCACAAAGAGTGGTGGAGGCCTACAGATGACAAAGGTCACATCTCCTTGTGCCTCTCCACTGCAGTATGGGAGAGGCTGAGCCCACCTGACCTACCATAGACTCCCAGGAGGGGTATGGTGTTGGGCTCTGGGGGAGCCCACTGGCATCATGTTTGGATGGGCAGAGCTCCTGGTCCCCTTCTCTTCCTGCTTCAGGCTCCTATGGTCAAGTATGAACAAGAAGAACACTAGCAGATGGACAGCCACGATGACCCGACGGCTGTTTCTTGTCCTACACAGTGCAGTGCAGGGCTTTGGAGCACTGACCTAACCCATATCCTCACAGGCATGTTACCTGGGGTCACTGGGGTACTGACACTTTGCAGTGATGTCCACACCAGTCAGGTGTAGGTGCCAGGCAGTAGGCACCAGGGTGTAGGGGAAGGGCATTCTTCTTCTGGTAGGGTGGCTTTCAGGAAAGGACCTTGAGGGGGATTCAAACCTCTGTGTCTGACCCTGTCCTGGCCAGGGCAGGTGTGAGGTGTGACCACAGCAAGGTCAGGTCTGAGGGCATGGTCTCCCTGGAACTAAGGAGGCTCAGAGGTGAGATGACCCCAGGGGTAGAGGACTGAGCTGTAGAGGGATATGGTAGAATATGGATCTGGGGTGTCTCTTCTGAGCATGGGGGTAGGAGTACCCCGACCCCATATGTTCAGTTTGTCTTAGTTACTTTTCTTGTTGCTGAGATAAAATACCCAATACCTGGTGTTGAAGGAGGAAAGACTGATTTAGCTCACAGTTTGTACAAGTTTCAGTCCATAATCTGGCTCCAAGGCAGGGTGGCACATGGCAGAGGACAACAGTTTATGATGGCAGAAGACAGCAGAAGTAGAGTGAGTGTGTGTGTGTGTGTGAGAGAGAGAGAGAGAGAGAGACAGACAGACAGACAAAGCTCTTTCTGCCCCTTTTATCTTATAGACTGCTAAGATTAGAATAATGCCAATCCATTAAGTGGATTGATCTAGCAATCACCTGCCCTTAATTCCAGCACTGCATGATGAATCAATCACATACTCTATATTCAACCATCTGTGAAAAACTCCTATGACTGGTATGAGGCTTCTGGGGGAGACATTTCTGCTGGAGTCTCACCAGGCCTGCAATGTCATACTATCCACAAAATTTCTCTGGCCTGGACTAGAGAGACAGGATACAGCCTCAGAAAGAAAGTTTTATTTTTATTTTTTAAATTTTATTTATTTATTTATTGTGGGGGGGGCCCAGCTCAGCCCACCAGGGGGCGGGGCTGGCTGGCATGTGGTGCTGGGGGATTGAACCGTGGTCCCTTTGCTTTGCTAAGCTTGTTCTAAGTAGGTGCTTTAGACCACTGAGCCATCTCACCAGCCCAGAAAGTTTTATTAATAAATTAAAAAGAATCCTACATATTTTTCTTGTATGGTCCCTGCCTCTTGGATTGAGTTAATTCAAGGCATAGGAAGTGGAGACCAGGTCTGTTTAGAGCTGCCCAGGGTTGACATACCTCTGTCTAGCTTATAAGCTGGAAAGACTGGCAAGGAACGGAGGCTAGAGATAATGTAGGCTGCATGGAGAGCAGTTTCTTCCAGGGAGCAGCATCTCCAGGTCTTAGAGTAGGGCAGAGAGCCAGGGATTGTGCTGGTGTGTGTGTGGGGTCATCAGGCACCCCTGTGAGCACACTCCTTAGCCCATAGCTTTGCTGCCACCCAGGGTGGCTCTAGCTCTACAGACTAGTGAGCTCCTGCTCTGCAGGGCCAGCATCTGGCCTCCAAATCGAGGACAAAGACTTCTGGGCAAGGGCTGTGTGACACAGGCTCATTGAGTTCCTCAGGCAAGAGGCATCTATCTATCCTAACGGAGTTCAGAAAGGGGAGAGCAAAGGCCCCTAAGCTGGCTGTTGCTGAGGTGTCTGGTGCCAGCCTATGGCAGGTCTCAGACTTCTGGTATGTGGACCTGAGGAGCTTTGCTCTTGTGGGTTTTATCTATCACTATTTACTCATCAGAAATTAAGAAGAAATTTGTTTGTTGGTTCTTTAAAACAACAAACTCATTATGCCAGAATGAACAATAGGCATGCTATCCCATGTCACACAGCCTCTGGAAAATGCTACCCTGTACTGTGAGGTAGAATGACAGAGGCCAGCACTGCTTAAATGTAGTCACAATTCTGCATTATCCCATTAGCACATATGGTCTCAGGATGGAGCACAGAGTAGATGGTGGGTCTGTGAGTCCATCTCTGGGCCCATTGGCTGGCCTCTAATTGAGGTACAACTCCTGTGTAGGTGTTACAGTTAACCTTGTGGTTGCAAGGTCTGTGGGAATCTCAGGACCTGGCCTGAGCTGGTTCTGCAGCATGGAGCAAGACAGATGATCAGCCTGTCTGGCTGCCACTGGCTTCCATGTGTCCAGCCTTAGGTTCTTCTAATTCTTGTAAGTTTTGTTTTGTTTTTGGTGGTGCTGGGATCAAACCCATGACCTTGTGCATGTAAGGCAAGAGCTCCACCTCTGAACCACATCCCCAGCCCCAAAGGTTTTTTTTTTTTTTTTTTTTTTTGTGGAACTGGGGATTGAACTGAGGCCCTTGCACTTGCCAGGCAAACACTTATTCTACTGAGCGATCCCCAGCCCCCAAGCCTTGAGTTCTTCCTGGGAGGGCATAGCTGGGCATAATCTGGGATGGTACTACTCTGAGAGAGCGAGGATGGTGGGGCAGACCCAGCTGACCACAGCCTGGACAAAGGAATGGCTGAGGACATCATAGGGATGGGTCGGCATAAATTCTCCCAGGCCTTCTGCCTCAGTTGGAGGTAGTATGAAGCCAGGAAGAGGTAGACAGGAGGAAGGAGCCCATGCAGCCCTGCACCAAACAGGTGCACACCTTCATGTGCAGCCCTGGATATGTTGCAGAGGACAGATTCATGAAGAAACCCATTATTCTGAATCCAGAGACCTAGCTGGAAGGAGGTTCTCAGGAATTGAACTTCCTGGAGCATCCTGCCTAAACGGACCCAGGGCTGAACTAAGCTCACACAGGTCTTAATGTGACACCAAAATAAATCATATGGAGGGCCAGCCAGATAGCTCAGTGGACTAAAGCACCTGCTTAGGCAGATGCCGGGGCTGGAGGTTCAATCCTGGCCTGTCATGCTGGCCCTGTCTCTAGGGTGTGTTGAGACAGCCAATGAGACTGGGCATGGTGGTGCATGCCTATAATCCCAACACTTGGGAAGCTGACAAATAGGAAAGATTACTATGAGTTTGATCTGTGTAGTGAGACCTTGTACTAAATATATGAAATAAATAAATAAATAAATAAATAAATAAATAAATCACATGGGCCTTGTTCAGATTTAAACCTTCTGTGCACAGGTGCTTCACCACTGCAAAGATAAAGAGAACCCAGAGAAGGCAGAAAACCTACTGATCTCACACCTACAAGGGCATGGCCTCCAGAGCACACAGCCTGAGATGGTGCACCTGCACATCTGTCCCTGGACCCCTCGGCAGCACTCACCTGGGTGGTGTCCTGGGAGTACTTCTTACACAGGCCATCTATGCCCATGAAGAGTGCCTGGATGCTGGAGTCAGTCTGAAAGAAAAGCCAAAGGCTCAGTTTTAATTGCTTAAAAGCTTCTAGCTACTGCTTAAAAAGCAGCACATCAAGATCTAGAATTTCCAGAGATGGAATGTTGGTGATAAACCTGGGAAGGGCAGGACTATGGACCACAGGGCAGTGATCCAATCCTTCTGCACCCATGGAAAGCCAGGAGGTCCTGGGTTCAATCCTCCATATCAAAAAATATTCTAACTCTTCTCTTTAGTGAAGCCATAGTAACTGACTTACTCAAACTTGAAAAGAGCACTATAATAAGGGATAATTACAGGTACAATTCATATATAAACAAACAAACACAAGCCAAGCAGTAGTAACCAAAGCTCATCTATATATACAAGCTGTGCCACATCATTCCACTGTATTTATTCCTGGAATTTAATGGGGATTAAAAAATAAATACAAGTTACCACATTAACTAATGAGGTTAAAAAAGGAAAGATGCTAGTTACAGAAAAGGCAAAAGCTTTACACCACTCATAATAATAAACCTTAGCAAAGAACTTAGTGCACATAAAATGCACTAGGTGGTGGTGAAGCAGTGAAGGCTGACTGTGAAATCGCGCACGATGGGAAGCCCCCACAGCAGCTCCTGCTCTGCAGGGCCTGAGGGCCAGTCACTGACTGCAGGGTATGAAGGCCACTGCAAAAACCCTAGAAGAACTTTCACGTAAACCAATAACCAAGTGAAGATGGCAAGATTTCTTAGTGCTTCTAGCAGTAAGAGCTAAAAAGGCGAAATTTTTAAAAACTATAGCAGACCTTCAAATCATCAGTCTAAGAACTATCATTATCACCATGGTGCTGAGGAAGCCATCAGCTATTATTTCATGAAATGGGAGAAGATCCAGGTAAACGCAGTACCTCATAGATTAATGGGTCAATATTATAGATACCAATTTTCCACTTCATTTTATTAATTACGTGCAAAATAAAAACCCTATCAGAGGCAGGTGGGACTGCTCAGTGGACTGAGTGCAGGGGCTGGTGTTTGATCCCTGGTACCACATGCCACATCAGCCCTGCCCTCTGGTGCACTGAGCCTGTGACTGAGTCTGGGCATGGTGGCACACACCTGTAATCCCAGCACCAGAAGGCTGAAAACAGGAGGATCACTACAAATCCAAGTTTCATAGTAAGACCTAATATATATCTAAAAACAACCAACCAAAAATCCTATCAGGATTCTGTGGGCCAGACAAATAGCTCAGTGGATTAAAGCACCTGCAAGCAGGCACAGGGAGATTCCCAGGTCTGCTGTGCCAGCCCCGCCCCTGAGACAGCAACTGAGACTGGACGTGGTAGTGCACACCTGTAATCCCAGCTCTTGGGAGGCTGTAAACAGGCAGATCACTACGAGTCAGATCTAGTAATGAGACCCTGAACACCCTGTAGACCCTTCCCTGAATGTGGGTGGTACCACCGAAAAGGTCTGCTGCCTAAGTGAAATAAAAGGAAAAGGAAAACCTGCTTCCTGTCTGCCCTACCATGGACTGTTTTTCCTCTGTGATATTCCTTTACCATGCCACCCTGCCTTGGAGCCAGTTGACTATAGACTGAAACCTCTACAAACTGTGAGCTATACTAAACCTTTCTGGCTTTGCCGAACAGCTCAGTTGTTTAAAGAGCTGCTTGGGTAAATGCAGGCAGGTGCATAAGACTGCAGTTCAATTCCCACTTCCAGAAGCTATACCAGACCTGCCATTAAGACAGCCCGAGTAGGAAAAAAACAACAACTCCATCTCAAAATTTTGGGGGCCTGCCCATTAGCTCAGTTGTTTAAGTGCCTGCTTAAGAAAAGCAGTCAGGCTCAGGATTCTGTGGTTCGGTCCCCAGATCCTCCTGCCTTACCAGACCTGCCCTTAAGGCATCCTGAGCCGGCCAAAATAAATAAATAAAATCTTTCCTCCTCTAACTTGTGGATGTCAGGTATTTTGTCTCAGTCAAGAGAAAAGTAACTAAGATAGTGTTTCTTGCTCATGACATTGTTATGATTATATATACAACACTGCTAATACCCGAAAAATTAATGATAGTTTATTAATATCTGGATATAAATCACCACAATCAGACTTTTGAGTCAAAGAAAAATTTGATGTCTTGTTACTAGACTTTTTTTTTTTTGTATTTTAGGGAAGGGTCTACAGGGTGTTCAGGGTCTCACTACTAGATCAGACTCGTAGTGATCTGCCTGTTTACAGCCTCCCAAGAGCTGGGATTACAGGTGCGTGCCACCATGCCCAGGCTTAATTGCTGGCTCAGTGTGCCTCAGGGGCGGGGCCAGCATGGCAGGCCCGGGGATCAAACACCTGGTCCCTGCGCCTGCTTGCAGGCTCTTTAATCCGATGAGCTATTTGGCCAGC